ATCCAGAACTCGGCGCGGATCTGGAAGGGGCTGCAGCCTGGCAGCTCAGCGTCGGCGCAGGCCTACAACGCGGCCAAGATTGAAGGGGCCCTGGGACACGCAAACAAATACACACACGAATAAAACCACTCCCCATATTTCCCCACATGATCTGGGCTTTTGTCTTCCCCCCCACTTCCCATCTTTTCTCATGTTTTCCTGGGAGTGGACGATTACTTGTGTCTGTGTGTTTTTTTCTCCTCCTGAAAGGTGCTGGCGATCAAGGGGCCGAGCACAGCTGGCGCGGCGGCTGTGCGGAGCTACGGGGGCTTCGAGGGCGATATCTTCGAGCTGAAGTACATCGAGTAGCTTCGAGGACGATATCTTCGAGGACGATATCTTCGAGGACGATATCCCTTCGAGGACCATATCTTCGAGGACGATATCTTCGAGCTACGAGGGCTTCGAGGACGATATCTTCGAGTACCTGAGGTCGCCGTTGGCGGCGTCGGGAGCTGGACGCCAGCCTGGTGGCGGTGGACCCGCTGGACCACTGCTATACAAACAGCCTCACCCTCATCCACATCCTCATCCTATCATCACCCTCATCCCGATCCCCATCCCCATCCCCATCCTCGTCCTCATCCTCATCCTAATACTCCTCCTTCACCACCTCCTCCTGCTTCTCCTCCTCCTCCTCCTCATCCTCACTCTTATCCTCATCCACATCCTCCGCCTGATCATTATCCCCATCCTCAACACCATCATCGTCCTCCTCATCCTCTTCCTCCTCCTCCTCATCCTCCTCCTCCTCATCAGCATCATCATCATCATCAGCATCAGCATCATCCTCAGCCTCATCCTCATCCTCATCATCAGCATCATCATCATCATCATCACCAGCATCCTCATCCCGATCATCATCATCATCATCATCATCATCATCATCATCATCATCATCATCATCATCATCATCATCATCATCATCATCATCATCATCATCATCATCATCATCATCCTCATCCTCATCCTCATCCTCATCATCCTCATCATCCTCATCATCCTCATCCTCATCCTCATCCTCATCCTCATCCTCATCCCCATCCTCATCCTCATCATCCTCATCATCCTCATCATCCCCATCATCATCACCATCATCATCACCATCATCGCCGCCGTCGTCGTCATTAGCATCAGCATCAGCATCATCATCAGCATCATCATAATCAGCAGCAGCATCAACATCATCGTCACCATGATCATCATCATCAGCATCATCATATTCATTATCAACATCCCCATCATCATTAACATCATCATCATCTTCATCATCGTCATCATCCACCTCCTCATCATCAGCAGCATCATCATCAGCATCACCAGCATCATCATCATCATCATCATCATCATCATCATCATCATCATCATCATCATCGCCATCATCATCGGCATCGTCATCGTCATCGTCATCATCAGAATCATCATCATCAGCAGCATAATTTACATCAGTATCAGCATCATCACCATCATCAGCATCATCATCATCATCATCATCATCATCAGCATCCTCATCCTCCTCCTCCACCACCTCCCCCTCCTCCTCCTCCTACTTCTCCTCATCCTTCTCCTCATCCTCACCCTCACTCCTATCCTCATCCACATTCCCAACCTCTTCCTCATCCACATCATGTTCCTCATCCTCATCCTCATCCTCATCGTCATTGTCATCATCATCCTCATCCTCATCATTATCACTACCATCATCACCATCATCACCATCAGCAGCAGCATCAGCATCAGCATCATCATCAGAATCAACATTATAGCAGCATCATCATCATCATCACCATCACCATCACCATCAACATCATTATCATCACCACCATCATCATCCGTACCATCATCATCATCATCATCATCATAATCATCATCATGTTCATCATCATCATCGGCATCGTCATCGTCAGCATCATCATTGGCATCATCATCATCATCATCAGCAGCAGCAGCAACAGCATCAGCGTCATCATGACACCTTTCATCTTCCTCCAGCCACCGCTTCTTTCCCTCCTCCCCTACTCCCACCTCTTCCTAATCCTCATCCTCGCACCTCCAGCCGGAACTACCTGGGGGGGCTGTCTGTGCACAGACCGAAGCCTTACCACTGACGACGTTGCCCCGGATCCTTCTCCTCCCAAATCGGTGGTCTTCGGGTAATTAATAACTTGGGCCTCTGGCGGCCGTTCGGGACGATCCGGCAGCCCCAGAACGCCCTCGGCGAAGCGCAGCTGTCAGAACGCATCCCGAGGCTGGAAAGCCGCAGAAAACGTATGAAATCTCGGACTTCGGACCTCGACACTTCGTTAGAGGGTCAAAAAACTGTGTAAGCGGTAACGTTTGGAGGTCCGCGAGGATTTCTTCGATCTGCGCTGAGACCCCCTCCCTGGAGCGCGGAGCGCTTCAGGGGCGGTGCGAGAGGCGCCGCCAGAGGGCTCCAGCGCAGATCAGAGAAATCCGCGCAGAGCGCCGACAGTGTGCGTTTATGTAGCTTTCCTTCTTGGATGCATCCCCTGTCAGCACTGCCCTTGATTGGCGGCGCGCACGAGGGGGTAGGGGGGAGGGAAGCATTCTTAGAAGGAGGCTGCTTCTCAGAAGGCGCCTGCCCACGCCTACAGAGAAGATCCGCGCCATCCAAGAAGCCGTTCCCCCCTCCCCCATACCCCCCTCTGCGCGAGGCTGACCTTGATCCTTCTCCTCCCCCGGCATGGGCGCACCCCACCGCGGCCTTGGCCAAGTCGGGGCCGCCCGACGCCGCGCTCTTGGCGGCCGCCTTCTGGAAGGCGTAGAGCGTGCCGAGGCCGTTGCCAGCCCCGCCGTTCCAGTCCTCGTGCACGCACAGGACCGTCGCCTTCGACCCAGTGACCTCTCGCGGGTGACAAGACACATCCACATCTGTCGGGAAGCAACTCCTGGGAGGTCTTCGTGAGAACGATGAAGGGCTCCGGAGCCCGATCAAAAAGCCACTGAACCAAACTCGCCCAGACTGCGCCGCGGATGGAGCCGGATCCAGCGGGGGAGCGAACCGGGACTCGAGCCAGGCTCGGCCAGTCTTCGACCAGGGATATACCGGCACCGATTCTGTAGTTCACCTCCCAGCGTATCCACGCCCTCGCGGTCTGTCGGGCTCGGCGAAAGGGGGGGACAGCAAAGAGGGGGGTGAGAATCGGCTCACGCAGCTGATTTTCCCAGCGCCTCACGGCGCCAGGAGGCGTCCACGCATCGAAGACGAGGCCCGGCTGCGGGGCCGAAACCAGCTGCATGCAACAGATTTCGTAGCCTGACTACCTACCAGACCACCCCAGCCCAACCCGAAGACCCGAATTTCGGGTTGGGGGGGGGGTAAGGGTTCCACACGCGTTTTTGTCGACGTTTCCCGAACCCCCCCCCACTGGAAATCGAGGGTAAATCTGGGCCTTCGGGTTTGGGTTGGGGTGGTCTGGTGGGTGGTGATAGCCCCCCCCCCTTCCCCATCTCCCCCCGTCGCTCGGCCCGAGCCTGGGCGCCGCGGCGCGATCCCACGGAGACGCGACTCTCGGGGATGGACAGACCCCCCTTTATAGTAAAACGCGGCTCAGTGAAAAGGACCCGAGGCCCAAACCTGGCGGGCGCGAGCCTGGAAAATGACGGCCGCGGCGCCCTGGACGAGAACCGAAAACGGACAATTCACTAATCGACGTGTCACTGTCGGGGGTTCTGTCCGCCCCCGAAACTCGGCGGCCACGCCCCGCGCGGGTCGTCCGCGCCACGCCGCCCCCCGCGCGCGGCGGGGCCCTGCCCCGAGGGCTCCCGCGGCCGAAAGGGGCTCCGCGGCCCAAAGGGGCGCGCCTCCCGGCCCCGCGGGGCCTCCTCGACCGTGGCCTCGAGGCGCTGCTGCCAGAAGTTCTCGGCGGCCAGGTTGGAGCAGCAGACGACCTTGGGCGCTGCGAAGTCGAATCCTCCTCCTCCTCCTCCTCCTCCTCCTCCTCCTCCTCCTCCTCCTCCTCCTCCTCCTCCTCCTCCCCCCCCATTAAGCCACGCCCAACGACCTTGGCCGCTGCGTCATGGGGGGATCGTGAATGGGGGGGGGGGGGGGGGGCGGCGAGTGCGGTCCGAAAAGGTGCCCCGATGGTACCCAAACGAGCCCCCCTGGGGCCCTGGAGGGGCCCGAAAGGGGGCACGGAAGGGGACCTTTTCTGACCCCCCCATTTTTGACCCCCCCGGGCCAACGACCAACGAGGAGGAGGAGGAGGAGGAGGAGGAGGAGGGGGAGGGGAGGAGGAGGAGGAGGAGGAGGAGGAGGAGGAGGAGGAGGAGGAGGAGGAGGAGGAGGAGGAGGAGAGCCACGCCCCACGACCACGAAGTCGAAGCCGCCGGGCCCCTGCATCTTTGCTATCTCGGCGAGCATGGCCTCCATCCGCTCGGGGGGGGCCCGCGCGGCCCGGCCGGCGAGTCGAGGCCGGGGCACGGATCGAGGCAGGAGGGCCAGCTCCCTTGAGCCAAGGAGGAGCACGAAGAGGTGTGAAAACAGGTTGCGAGGAGGAGGAGGAGGAGGAGGAGGAGGAGGAACATGGGTGGGAAGAGGGGAAAAGAGAATGGGAGGGAGTGCAGTCCGGTGCTCAAGCCCATGAAGCCGTCTGTGGGGTCAAGTGGGGAAAAAGCTATCCTGGCTCGGGCTGGGGCAAATCAACCGTTGTGAAACTCTGTTCAACATCTGCCATGTGGCAACCATGCTACTGCACAACATCCTCTGCCAAGGAGCAGGGGACAAAGCGGAGGCAACGAGGAATGCCAAGCAACGAGGATGGCGAGGAGGACAAAGGAGGGAAAGAGGAAGGGCAGGATGCGTGATGCACTTGACGGTAGGAAGTAGGAGGCAACTCGGAAGGAGGACGGGAAAGGCAAGGACAGTGGAGGGAGGGAGCGCAAGAGAAGGTCCAGAACGCAGACAATTCCAGAATCGCGCCCTCGCTCACCGAACTCCCGGCTGCCCGAGCAGGCAGGGCTGGGAGCTCGGCCTTGAGCAGCATGAAGCACACCGGGTCCACAAAGGTGCACCTGCTTCGAGGAGCCGCGGGGGCGAGGCAGGGAGGGGACGAGGAGGAGGAGGAGGAGGAGGAGGAGGAGGAGGAGGAGGGGAGTGAGAAGAGGGGGGAGGGGAAGGTCAGGGGAGGAGGGGGAGGGGAAGGGGACGCGGGAAGGAGGGGGAGGGGGAGGGGGAGGGAATGGGGCAGCATCGAGGAGGTGGGTAAAGGAAGTGGGCGGAGGATGACGGGGAGGAGGGTCATGTAAGGGGAGGACGGGGGAAGGAGGGAAGAGGGGATGGAGGAGAGGACGGGGCCTGGGGATCGGGAAGGGGGAGAGCGAATGAGACACTGCCGCGGCACCGAGATGGGAAGTCGTCACCCACCGCGCCAACTTGTCCAGGATCAAAGCGCGGGGAGGGAGAGGCGTGGAGGAGAGCAGACGGGAGAGAAGAGGGCGGAGATATGATAGAAGAGGAAGACGAGCGACAGAACAAAACGACAGACGAGAGGATGGGCTGACTGGGGACACTCGCGCCACATCTGGCACCATCTCCCTCCTCTCACGCAGCCTTTCCCCCATTGCGGTTGCTGCCTGTCCTCTCTGGAGAAACCGAGATCGATGATCCTCTAAACGTGTGTCAGCGCAAACGTTGAAGGGGCCCCAGGACACACAAAGAAATACACACATATCAAACTATTCCCCATATTTTCCTATATTTTCTGGGTTTCTATCTTCCCCCCCACTTCCCATATTTGCCAATATTTTCTATGGAATCGACGATTAATTGTGTCTGTGTGTTTTTCCCCCTCCTGAAACGTGTTTGTCGTCCGAAGCCCTTCAATACGACCCGGATGGAGCTTCACGGGGTCAAACATACATTAGGCTAACACACGTCCTGAGAATCATCGGCAAAAGGTACCGATACCGCTACTCCCTGGACTTCTCCCAGAGTGCGTTCTGACCAGAACTTCGAGGCGAATCCGGCGGTGGCGACGAGGGCATCCCAGGAGGTCCAGAAATGCACCAACGAGGCAAGGGCAGCGGCATGGGTACCTTTTCCTCCTCTGGCAAGAAGCGCCCAATACGACCCAAGACGGCCGAAGACGGCCCAAGAGGGCTCGAAACGGCGCCAAGCTGGCCCAAAGGGGGCCCCCTAGCGGCTCCCAGAAGGCCCTGCGAGCCTCCCAGGCGGCCCAAAAGGGCAAGTCTCTCCCAAAGATGCAGCGTGTGGCCCGTCGCCTGAGCACGCCGGGGAGACGCTTCAGGCGGCGCGGCCTGACCAGAACTCCGAGGCGAATCCAGCGGTGGCGACGGGGGCCTCCCAGGAGGTCCCCAGACATCCGGCTGCTCCAATTTTTGCGGTGCGTGGACCCACGAGGTCAGGACCACTTCCCCGGGACCGGTTTTTCGTCCTGAGTAGTTTTGTTGACGCTCCCGAGGCCCGGCGAGGGCCCCCAAAAGGCCGAGACCTGTCCAAAACCGCCCGCTTCATTTTTTGGGGAGCGTCGGATCTCAGGGTCCAAAAACGCAAGTCGCCCCCCCCACAGAAACCGCAGCGCGTGGCCCGTCGCCTGGCACGCCGGGGAGGCGCGGCAGGCGGCGGCCGGGCCGCGCGCAGGGGGGGGGCGGCGGCCGGGCAGAGAGAGAGAGGGCGCCGGGGGCCGAGCGGCGCCGCGCAAGAGGCGGGCAGGGACCGGATCGGATCGGCTCGGCAGGAGGGGGAAGCGTCTAAAGTTAGGTCGGGCGTGTCCCCCTACAGGAAGGTTCTGGCCGACAAAAAACTGAAAATATTCAAACATAATCCCAAATGATGAAAATAATAAAAAACAGAGTATTTGTTGCCTATTTTCGAATTGTCCCCCTGTATAGCGACAGGCCCGACTTAAGTCTGAAGAGGCTCCAGGGGAGGGGCCACGATGTTCGCACAGCGCCGCGCAAGCTTTTTGCGCCGGCGTCTGGGCAAAGTCACTGCGCTGGGGAGGGGGAGAGCAACACGGGGCTGCCGTGACGCGAACTGTGCCACCGTGCAGGCGGGGAGGGAGGAGACAGCGAAGCGACGGCCGAAGAGAAGGGGGAAACGGTCGGAGACCGATTTCTGACCACACCCACTTCCCGAGGTGCCTCGCGAAAAGCGGTTTCCAGAGGTGGAGGTAGGCAGTTTCCCCGCCCCAGGGGAAGGAACAACTACCCACTTCCACCCCCGAGGGCCTATCGTAGAATCGAGGATCCAGAGGTGGGTGTGGTCAGAAATCGGTCTTCGAAACGGTCCGGGGCCGCTGAAGGGAACAAATCTTTCCCCGGGGCGCGTGGCGCAGCCGTCACCGCCGCGAGGCCAGAGCACCGCACAAACAAGCCGGCGCGGCACAGGACCGGGGGCCGGGGGCCGGGGGCTGCGCGTGCAAAAATGGCATCCTCCGGGGGCACGACGTTTGCACACCACCCTCGCAAGCAAGCTGGTCTGGCACAAAGTGCGTGCGCGGGGGCGGTGGCCATAGATCGGCCCCGAAGGAAGAAGCGTCATGCTCCGCGGCGCCGTCGGAACGAGCGGCACGGATCGGATGGGATCGTCTCGACAGGAGGAAGCCTCTAGAGAGGCCCAGGGACACAAACAAATCGACACATATCACAAGATTCCAAAATCTTTTCCGTGTTTTCTGGATGCTCGTCTCTCCCCCTCCACTTCCCATATGTCCCATCGGTTCCTGGGAATCGACGAGTGTCTGCATGTGTTTTTGCCCCTCCAGAGCGTCGTGCTCCGCAGCGCCGTCGGAACGGGCACGGATCAAATCGGCTCGGCTCGGCAGGAGGAGGCACCATGCTGCGCAGCGCCGTCGCAAGGGCTACGAGGGCGGACGGACGGACGGAAGGACGCTCCCATGCGCGCTGGGGCGCGGTCTCTCCAGAAACAGAGCGGTGGCGCCATGGGCCCGACAGCTTGTCTGGCAACTCATCGCTTCAGTTCTTCGTGCAGTCGACCCGTAGAAGAAGGACGCGCGGTAAGGATGTAAGGGCCTTGCGCGCCCAGCGAAAGCGGCCGAGGATGGGCCGAAGGGGAGTAATGCAAGGGTACCCGTGGAAAATCGCTCATCTTCACTATGCGGGTCGACTGTGCTATGTCCCGCATCTCTTCCATCAAATCCGTCGACCCCTCGTGGGTTTCTAGGCGTGTGAGATTCTTTCTCCCCCATAATCCCGCCAGAGGGATTTCAAATCGGGAGTTTGATCCCCCCCGGCCCGGTACGACCCTGGACCGAACGCGCGATGGGGGGGCAGAGGGCCCCAAAACATGCCTAGAGGGGACTAAGACGCCTCCTAAATTGTCCAAGAATGCCCAAAGATCGCTCCAAGACGCCCAAGATGGCCCCAGGACGGCCCTACAGGCCGACAAATCGCCCCAAGAGGCCTCCAAGAGGCCTCCCAAGAGGGCCCCAAGAGGCCAAAATCGCTGATTTTCATTATTTTCGCAAGGTAATTGGGATTCTTGCCCTTACGGCTTTCCGACGCTCCAAGACCGCCCAAGAGGGCCCGAAGCCCGCTCCAAGATGGCCCAAGAGGCCCCAAAGACGGCCCAAGAGGGCTCCAACTCCAAGACGGCCCACGAGCCGCCCCCCCAAGACGGCCCAAGAGGGCTCCAAGACGCCCCCAGGAGGCCCCAAGACGGCCCAAGAGGCTCCCAAGACGGGCCCAAGAGATGCCCAAGAAGGGAACCAGGAACTGAAAAATCTAACCTTCTGCCCCAAGACGCTCCCAGGAGGCCCCGAGACGGCTCAAAGAGGCCCCAAGAGGCCCCCAAGACGCCCCCAAGACACCCAAGAGGCCCCCAAGAGACCCATAAGAGGCCCGAAGAGGCCAAAAAAATGCTCCCAAGACCCCTCAAAACTGCCTTCCAGAGGCCCCCGAGAGGTCAATCACGAGATCCCAACCAACACACATGAGGTCTGTGACCCACCACCCAGGCACGGTGGCGGAATAGGTCGAAAGCCACTAGATCCGCCGCCCCCTGTTGATTTATCACAAGGGTGCCCGGCGTGCTAAATCCTGTCGCCTTTGGTTATGTTTTTTCTTATAACTCACCCTGGGGCTCCGGCCCAGCCAGCCCGGAATGGCCCAGAAAGGGTGGTTTCAAAAGGTTTTCCTGCTCCCGATGGATCCCAGATGGCTTCCAAGGTGGCCAAGATGGCCTCCAAGTTCGCCCAGGATGGTCCAATATGGCCTCCAAGACGGCCCAAGAGAGTCCAAGATGCCTCCAAGTCCGCCCAAGAAACATCCAAGACGGCCCAAGACGGCCCAAGAGTTGCCCAAGATGCCTCCCAGGACGACCCAAGAGGCCTCCAAGAGGTCCTCCAGGAGGGCCCGAAGAGGCTAGAATCAATGATGTTCCTTAGGTTTTCAAATTATCCCGGCAAAGCAACCTAACAGCGATGTGTAGAAGCATATCTGAAAGCATTCCCCTTAAGATTCAGATGAAAATCCAGTTGTCGAATGCTGCTGTTCTCGCAGTCGTAGTCGCATTCGCGATGACAGTCGCAGCGGCAACGGCAGTCGCAGTCACAGCCTCAGCCTCAGCCTGCCTCCTCCTCCTCCTCCTCTTTCTCCTCCTCCTCCTCCTCCTCCTCCTCCTCCTCCTCCTCTTCCTCCTGCTCGTCCTCGTTCTCGTCCTCCTCGTCTTGCTCGTCCTCCTCCTCCTGGTGCTCTCTCCTCCTCCTCCTCCTCCTCCTCCTCCTCCTCCTCCTCCTCCTCCTGGTGGTCCTCGTTCTCCTCCTCCTGGTGCTCTCCTCCCCCCCTCCTCCTCCTCCTCCTCCTCGTCCTCCTCCTCCTCTTCCTCCTCCTCCTCCTCCTCCTCCTCCTCCTCCTCCTCCTCCTCCTCCTCCTCCTGGTAGTCCTCCTCCCCTCCTCCTCCTCCTCCTCCTCCTCCTCCTCTTCCTGGTCGTCCTCGTTCTCGTCCTCCTCGTCTTGCTCGTCCTCCTCCTCCTGGTGTTCTCTCCTCCTCCTCCTCCCCTCCTCCTCCCTCCTCCTCCTCCTCCTCCTCC